CGTGAAATGTAAGTTAAAAAAACAATCTTTCTATCACCAGAAATCGTGAAGTGAAACAGTTTTATGTTATTCCTATTAATGATGATGAATTCAGCCTCAGCTTGTCTCCAAGTACTTTGATTGTGGCCTGCTTGTATTTCGTTACATGCATTCCAACGGATCAGCGCGTGTAGGGGTCAGCGGACCTGAAGAAAGGTGACGAAGTTGGAGAGCAACGCCATGCTGGGGGGACATTGGTTAGGTACCCAATACCGCACTAAGAAAAATTGGCAAATACCGAAATACCGTGTCAAAAATCGACGATACCGCATTTATTTTCGGTCATGCTTACTTAAAGCTGTATCCATCTCGCGTGTTTGTTTATCTCAAGCATTTATGCACCAGCAATCAACCTCAGCCATTGTGAGGAGACGTGAGACGACCTCGAATTGATCGGTACAACGATCGAAAAAAATACCCTACCAATTTCATCATAGATTATCTGTCAGAAATTGTATAATGGTAATCATTTACCATTCATCTAAAGTCTTAAAAATACTGACGTGCATTAACCTAGCCTGCGTAGCAGGCGCTTGCAAGTAGTAGGCGCGAGAGAGAACGGGCGCGCGCGAGGGAGACACGCGAGGGGTGATCCCAGCGCCTGCTACGCAGGCTAGCATTTAACAGGAGAGCGCAATGAACAATACCGCAATACCGTGAAGGATCTTCTTTTACCGAATACCGTTGACCAAAAGGATGAAAAACCGCATACCGCAGGGCTAAATGATACCGCAATACCCCACTTTAAAATCCAAATTACCGAAATACCGCTTGAAAAAAAGCTCAATACCGTAAGCCCCCATTCCCCCCTCCACGTTGTTGAATAGGTGATAGAAAATTTAGGCTTAAAACATCCAATTATATTTGATGTTTACAATCTTTGTCAATATTATCACAGCAACAAACTTTCATCTTTCAATGTTAGTGTTGAAAGACATGTGTGGTATTTCGAAATACCTTACCTTAAAGATACCTTTTAGCTAAGGTTTCAGTGTAAAGGAATGTGAATGAGTGCAGCAAAAAATAATTTCATACTGTAACTTTCCTGCGCAAGAGTTTGAGTGCATGGTATGCTGTCCAATGTTATGTGACAAGTTGTGCCTAGTGCACTGGTTATTATCTAAATATCATAAACATTATTGTGGAAGCAAATTATGAAGCATATTATAAAATGAATTTGCAAAATGAGTGAGGCACTTTCATCGATTCAAAAGTCCTACCGGTTTCCTATCTTTTTTTTTTATGATGTCCTCCCCAATATTTGGGTGACCCTATTCGGCGGAATGGCGGAATACATGGAATCAATTGTAAAATACGGAATATACGTAATACTCTAAAACACGGAATTTACAGAATATTCTGTATTTGATTTGAACTGGACTGATGAAAAAGCAGAGGCAAATAATACTCTGTTGTTTTGAAATATTAAAAATTCAATTTTCGTACTGCCGTAAGCCACTATAGACCTTATGACGGTTTTGAAAGCCATCTTGACGGGTGAAGGGTCTGGTATCACGGGAATCTAATGTCGGATAATTTTCATAAAACGGCTGTTCTAAAAAAAAAGAATTGTAAACTTAAGCTTGACAGGATTGTACAGTTACAATTAATGGGGCTGACACGTGTGCCTAAATTTGTCCGGTCGGTTGCTTTAGATTTTCCAGACATTTGTCGGCAATTTTTCCTGGGAAATTTTATTCGGCAAGAAGGAAAAAAAATTACACACGACACTGTATATTTTCACGTGGTTGCATACCCGTCAAGACGGCCTCTAAAACCGTGATTCGATTTAGCGCCCTCCTTCCAATAAGCGCCCCCTTCAAATGTGTTTTGTTAATAAGCAC